TCAATTGTGGTAAAAATGAAACTAAATCATGTGCCATAACATGTAAGGGATACCTTTAATTTTGGGGCCATTCACGTGACAAGAGTGAAGGTGCAGTGTGTAGCTAATGGATACCTAATTCTTGTTGGTAACAGGCCAAGTTATAAAAGTCACCATTACTTAATTGAATGCTGTGGGGGAATCAAAGTGTCCCATTTGCTCCCTTTAGCATAACAAGACACCAATGTACTATCACTAATATATCCACCAAATTCTCCCTTTAGGTGACCATATTACATACTCACCTTTTTTAGTTTCATCTCCCCATTGTGTGTTCTCCATTTTCAAACTCATCTATATGTACATGCTCCTTCACGTAGAAGCGAGACTTGTTATTACTCGAACCTTACACGTCAACATCAATTTTTTTAAAACTCAGTGACGGTGAATATCGAACTTATGACCTCTTGAGCAAAAATGATCCAATATCATTTCAAGAAATAAGTTTTAGTAAAAGTTCAAACTTGTAATTGTAGACCTATGATTGTTTATATATAGACTAACACTGGCAAACCAGCTTAATTAATTGAGACCATGCATGTTACTAGTAATAAGTGACCATTTTGAACAAATTATTGTGCAACAATGATGGGGCAAGGTTGGAATGGATCTAAAATGTGCTCTTTTTTCCCAAATAAAATTGTATGTGTACTATTTATATGGCCAAATTTTATTTACTTTATTTCTTTCTTTTTGCTAGTCATTTGATAAAATAATATAGTCATGTCACCACTAGTTTTGTAGATGATCTTTTGATGTAGTTTTTAAATATGTAATTTTTATTATTTAATTCTATACCGTTTTTCATATAAAATGATATGAAAATAATTTCAGTCAAATATTATAAACCGAAACATGCGATTTAAATTAAGACGGAAAAAGTATCATTTATTTACTGATTACTTTCTCTACGCCGTCGGAGCTGAGGAACTAGAACTGATATGGCCCAACTATGTACGGGTAAGTATGTAATCTATGTATTCTGTGTTGAACAATGTATAAATCACATTATTTTATGCACCCGGCTCTCGTGACATTGAGTTTCAATGTCATGAGATGACATTGCCCAATTTATAAAATTAATAGTTCAGACTGCCCTAACCCGCGATAAATCTGCCATATTGGCTCGAGCCAAATCAGTTTCTTCCCTTCAATTACATCCTTCAATTTTAGTTGACTTTTAAGTAAAAGAAATTTTGTGTCAAAAGTGAACTAAATATGACAACGTGTTAGCAACAAAAGTTTCATGAATTGATCAGTTTTCACAAATTATGATTTTACGAAAAAAAGTCATGATAAAAATTAATAACACTCGATTCAATTTGATTTGTATTTCTAAAATTGCTAGTTAAAATTCTCAAATTTATATACGAGTAATATCTAGTTGTATCTAAACATAATTATTAATGGTTAAACTATTACATTAAGCCTAAAATATAAAATATGTGTGTGTTTTTTGTGGTGAGGACATGCATTATTTATTTGTACTTTTGCCTTCTCGACTACGTTAGTTGCATGCATTTGGAGCATCCAACTAACAAATGTTAGCCTAAATGGGCCTTTGTGCTGGACCACCCATAAATGCATGGCCCAAATGCAGAAAGAGTAAGTGTGTACCCTAGCTTTTCGTTGACTATCTAAAATCGGTCTGGTTCCGTGGCCACTGGATTCCAGTGGTCACGGAAGTCATTGCCTCCCTACGGAGCTCCGTTCATAAAATTGATGATTCTTATCTCTCCTAACCTCCCTGGTAAACCTCCTGCCAAGTCTCGACTCAAACTACTCCCCCAACGTAGTCGAGAGGAAAGATTATCCAACTAGTGCACCACAATAATAATGTAGAGAACATAATATAATAATGATGATACATATATATGAATGACTTTGGATCCTCTCTACTCTATCTTAAACTTTGCTTTGGGTTATAATTAATAATGCATGTGTTGTAATGAAGTTTCATACAATCACAAATTAAAATGCTTTATATACATAACACTTCCATCATCTCTAATATATAAATGTCCCAAAAAATTAACTTTTAACGTCCGTTTGGTATATGGAATTGACAGAATTGTATTTGAATTGGAATTGAAGTTCTATGCAACTGGATTCGATGGAATTCAGTTCTCCAATTCCAATTTATTTTTTACACTACCAATTCCAAATTCATTTACTTTTTGTGCTAGCAACCATCAAATTTGGAATTGAAGTTCTCAATTTCAATTCCACGGCTTAAATTCTGTATATCAGACGGGGCCTTAATGAGATATTTAAAAAGTAATTGTATGAAGAAGATTTATAAAAGTGAAATTTGCACTGAATAGAACAAAAACATAAGTCATTTTTCAATGTAGGACTTAAACTTTTTTATTCCTTAAATAAAACTTAATAATGACTAGTGAGAAGAATAATGTCCAAGTGATGCTGAACATTTAATTGAATAATGACCAATAATCCTACATTGGGAAATAAAAATATATGGTCCTATATTGAGAAAATCATTATGTTTTAGTCATATTTATGTAAATTACCCTTTATAAAAATGTAAAAAAAAATATTAACCATGTATTCTTTTTTTTGCTCAAATGGAATGTGCTTTTTTTGTGAACGGCTAAAAAAGAAAACCAATTCATAAATTTTTACATCAATAGAAAATTAAAATTAGATATTAAAAAACTACATCAAAAGTTCTATAAAATAAGAGCCGACAAGAATACTTTATTTTATGAAATAAGCAATGAAAATACACAAATAAATAAAAGTTATCAAAATGTGAGAGAAAAAAGATGTTAATCAAAATTGGAACAGAAGAAATATATAAACACATAGAGTAGGGGATGTTTGTTTGAGCAAAAAAATGTATTGTCACATCTTTGAGTGCTTCTATGGTGCACGTGGGATGCATATCATTTTTTGCAGACATTCTCATGTAAAAGTTTTTTTTTTAATTTTTTAAAATAGATGCTTATTTAAGTAGTAAGAAAATACTTATTTTACTCATATGTAGATCCACTATAGAATTTGCCTATTTCTTTATGCAAACTTGATGTAAAAAGAGTGAAAATAGAAACAAACCAATCATGTCTCTGGAGTAAAAAATTTGACTTCAAAGTCAATTAAACTTCGAAGATGCAATTGAAGAGGGTGAGACAGATGGTTCGGGGTGGGGTGGGGTGAGGGGATTTACCGGGGATTAGGAGAGATAGAAACTGTAAATTTTATGAACGGAGCATTGCACGACCTCCCACATCATCCAATGACATTGCTAAACAATGTCATGAAATCGACCCTAATAACTGTACGTGTTTAATTAAGTCAAATTTATGTTTTAAAAAAACTTCAAATGATAGGCGCATGAAACACCAAGTGACACGCAGATAAAATTTGTTTATAAATTACTCTCTCGGTCCTAAAATTTATTTCTGTTTTCTATTTCATAATTTTGATAAATCTTGTTTGTATGTTTTTTTATAAAAAATAAAATATTTTTGGGCATAGAGAGTATACATTTATACTTTGGTGTACACCTAATCTACAATGAGAATCACTCATTAGAAAAATGATTAGTGATGTGTGGGATTGAAATGCCAAGGGTTTGCTTAGTTATTCAAAAGATAGATGTCCCATCCCACGTTTCATGCCATTTGTGCCATGGAAATTAAAGTGACACAAATGAAGAATAAAGGATGATTTGGTCGGAGGCAACTTAAAGAATTAGCAATTCAAAATGACAGCAAAAAAGAAAGACCACAATCATCATATCCCACACACATACAACTTGGAACGTAACACGAGTGAAACAAAAAAACAACATTTTGAAATGTAGTATTCAAAAGACATTATTGTCTTATATAAAATTAATTAAAACATAGTTTATTCTGTTAAAGGGTAAAATTTAGCGATGAAAAGTATTTATCCAACTTTTGATCCATTAGATTCAATGTCAATGATGTTTACAACCACAGATCGTTAGCGAGTGACATTTTAAAACTGCACAAAGAGTAAAATAAATTTTACGACAACAACGTTATAAAAAAATTACAAAACAGAACTGTTGAACTATAGCAATAGCATGAAACATTGAATATTTCTAGACTCCAGGTAAATATGGTAGTGTCGTGTAAATGCTAATGTACCATAATAGTGATATTACCTTGTTCTTTATATTTTCTTTTATTCAATTATTTATATTTTAGATATCTTTTGTCATTTAATTAAAACATTTAGACGTGTTGGCATGAGATATTAGAAGAAGAAAATCAAATTTTGTTGGGATTTAGTTTAATATCTTTCCTAGTTTGCCTAGTTCTTGTTTTAGTAGGAATAGAATTATGGTAAAAATAAAAGTTTATTTATTTGCTTTTATCTCTTTCTATATAAAGAGGATTAGACTTTTGTAATCTTAAAGACAACTCAATATAGTAATATTTTTCCCTTATTGTTTTCTACATGGTATCGAAGCAAAGTTCTTGGTGACCTATAATATTCTGTCTTCGCTCCTGGGCTCTTGGCGGGCGGCACCACCATTAGCCGCTTGTTGGGCCATTGTTATTCCTCCAATCAAAATTTTTCTCCTACCACCAAACTGACAACACTTCAAACCTAAATCCTACTCATATTGAATCACAAGAATCACCTAAAAAGAGTAAACATTTATACCCATCCATAGAATATAACTTACCTTAAAGATGCATTATCCACCAAAAAAACTAATGGTTTGAATTTACAGGACCGGTCCAAAAATGAGAAAATTAAGAAAGAAAATATGTTTTGGGGTTTTTGCTTTATTTAGGGCACTTGTGAAGAATTTTTAATTAATATCTTTTTTAGGTAAAATTTTAATTGATATCTAGTTCTATTAATTTTCTAATCTTTTTTAAGAAGCCGAGCATTTAAAATAAAAAAAAATTGAAGTTTAACTCTACGATTTAAAAAATACGGAGTAAAAAACATATTGAACGCAGGCAAATTTCAGTTTCTTTTTCCTTTTTTTGGTTTGACCTCAATGGCTCCATCCTCGAAGACTAATGTGCCGTTACCGTCACCGTCATTGTCGATCTTTCGTCACCAATGATTTATAACGGCTCCATATTAAATAATGTTGACCGCCGGGTTCTCACCGCCGGCCGCCGGCACACAGTCCGTTTTGTGCCGTGACCGCCAATGCACGGCCTGGCAAGCACGAGAGCAGTAATTGACGGAGCCACACACGGAGCACCGACGGAACTCGTGCCGTCGTAACTCTGGTCGTCCGCAACCCGGATTGCAACAAACCCGAAGACCCGGACCCGGAACTCCGCCGGCGGGCTCAAACCATTCCGTCAAGAACTTATTCGCCGGGTGGGGCTCCGGCGCCGGAACGTCGCACCCGAAATCACTCAGTAATGGACAGCTGCCCGTCCCGCCGGCCGGCCGGTTCAAAGCCAGCCAAGAGTCACGGTCAAAACCCGAACTTGCGACGGCGGCGTAAAGGGCGGCCACTTCCCGGACGTTGGCCTGGACGAGGAGTCGCCGCCCTTCAAGAACGTTCCGCTTCACGCCGTATCCGTCTTGCAAACAATGGCCGAGCTCGCGAAGAGCGTCGATGTGGCCCACCGAAGCCGCCCGGGCGCAAAGCGCGACGCCGGCCCGGAGGTCCTTATCCGTCTTTGATCCGCCGCTGCCGTTGAACTGCACAATCGCCAGCGAGTAAAGCGCCGGCGCGTGTGAGGCCATCGCCGCCTTGGCCATCAGGGAGGTGCCACTTCCCCGATTTTGGAAGCAGTAAAATCGAATCTGTCATTAAAGAAAATAAAAAAGATCAATTTTTTTTTTTTTACATTGGAAGCCAAGAAAACGTCTTTACATATACCCTAAGAAAATTGAATAGAAAGAAACTGACCATGCCGAGAATATAGCAAGCTTCGACATTTCCGGCGTCGGAACAGAGCTTGATGAATCGGTGAGTCGACTCGGTCCAGTTCCGAGCTCTGACGGCCAGCATTTTCAGGGAAGCGGCGGAAACCACCGCGGGATGAAATCCCAGCCCGTAAAACCTCTTGCATCTGCAACCCAAATCCCAAAAATTAAAAACCAAAGAACAAATCTTTTCAAATCATTAACTAATGGGAATAAATCACGAACGAATAATCATACGTCATCAAGGAGTTAAAGAAATCTGCAGGGGAATCGGCGGCGGAGCAGAGTTTAGCGAGGACGGAGATGAGGATGTCGTCGGGCAAGCAATCGAAGTAGTCGATATTTCCGGGAGCTTCCGGGGACAACTTCTGCCTTTTCCGGCCAGTTTTACGATCACCGGCGCCGGCGGGATTGGTTTTCCTTTTTGGACTCATCTGTCCCTACGTGCGAGCTTGTGAATTGGTTCTGTCTCCAAATCCAAAGAGATGATGAAGAACACTGGCCAAGTGAAAGCGCCTTATATTTATTTATACGGTCATTTCACAAAAGCTAATTTTTTATACGGTGTACTTACAATATCCGCCTCACAATTATTTTAAGAAATTTATACTCCTCAATTCCTCATCATCATTCCCAAAATTATCTTCATTTTTACTCCTTTAGGTTTTTTATTTTTTTATACGTATATTTATTTCTATTGGTCATTTCATAAAATAAAATAAATAATTAATCATTCACTATTTATTTTATAAAACTTTTAATATATTACGTAGTTTTTAAACGTGTAAGTTATACGGTTTGATAAATTACGAATTTGTGAATAAAAATAGATGAAATATGAAAGGACATTAACGATCTTGAAACATGTCTTAATTCTAAAAATTTATTTCTCTCAACTATTTTCTTTTATAATTTGATAGGTTTAAAATAAGTTAGAACTTGTGTGATTGTGATATGTATACGCATAGTATAAAGTACAAGTAATATAAATGGTACACTCTTTGTCCCATTCTAGCTAGTATGTCTCTTTTAGTTTACGATATTTGATTAAATTATTTTCAGTTTAACTTGTATGAGAATTGAGGTTGAATCAAAAAATGAATTTTACATATTTAAAATTACATCAAAAGTCTTTCAAAAGAAATGATGACATGACTATATTTTTTCAAACAAATAATAAAAATCAATAAAAAAAAGTGAATAAAATTCAACTACATAAACTATTCCCTCCGTCCCAAAATATTTGCCATACTTGCTTTTTCAGCAGTCGCGAGAATTTTTGTTTATTTCTACATTTTCATTGGTTATTTAATAAAATAAAATATTCTTGACACCTCTTACTTCGAAAAACTTTTCATGTAGTTTTTTTATATATATATTTTGTTTTTATTTCTATACCAATATGTAAATAAAATGAATGGAAAAAATTTGATATTTTACTTCGGAAATACAAGTGTGACAAATACTTAGAAACGGAGGGAATAGTAATTATGTAGTTTAATTTGAAACGAAGGGGTATAAATATTTTTACATTAAAAGAGTAGAGAAAAGAAAAATTAGTGACAACTCAAAATCGTAAAAATAGAAAAAAAAAATAATGGGACGGAATTAAAATTGAACCAAAAACTAGATCCATGAATTCAAGTTCCAATGCAACCACGAAGGAAGTTCCAAATTACATCACATTTTTTTTATTAATGCATGTATGTTTTCACATCTAAACAAATATTATCACAAATTTTTACCCCGTCCCTATTTTGATTACAATTTTTTTTCTCTTCTATCGATAATTTTTGTTTATTTACGCTATTTCATTAAGTATTTGATAAAATAAAATATTCTTGTCACCTCTTAATTTTTAGAACTTTTGATGTAGTTTTTTAATATGTAATTTTTATAACTTATTGATATACCAATTTGTAAATAAAATAATTTCAAAAGGTGATAAATATTTACTCGTAACCCACAATTTGTAATCAGAGGAAGTATCAAAACACACAAGAATTTACTTCGGCCCCGTTTGGCATCAGCGTCAGAGATTAGCGTTAGCGTTTTCAGAAATAATCTGCACCGTTAAAATTTTATCCAAAACGCTAACGCTAATGGAAAACGCAATTATCAAACAAAGCCTTCATAATTCCGAAATTGTAATAAAATTTTGGTGGGACAGAATATAAAATTATTTATAAAGTTTAATTTCTAACAAATGAAATGTTTTCAGTAAAAAGAACCGTTAAACATTTCTCCGTATCTGACGGGTGGTCTACGAACAGCGCACCACAAGCTGTATATGAGTGAAACGAGTACGGTACATTATCCGTATACTATACGATACGGTGTCGTACGTGTTGACAGCTCGGGACATACATACATACTATGTTTGGGTACGTACGTTTTTTTTCTTGTACGGCAAACGTATGACTCAATCAATACCCTTACAACATGGCTTCGTTCGTTCGTTCGTTCACTGCTTCAGTTACACAATAATGTCATTCTCCTCCTCCCCCCCCCCCCCNCCAAATTCCCTCTTTTCTTCTCACATTTTTGTAATTTTTTGAACCTCTTAATTATTGACATTTATTTTTTTTAAAAAAAGTTATGCTCCCTCCATCCTCAATTTGATCACAAATTGAAATTTATGAGGAGAAATATCTCACTTTTTGAAATCATTTTATTTACGAATCAATATATTGATAAAAAATAAAAATTAAATATTAAAAAACTATATAAAAAATTTTACAAAATAATGAGTGACAAAAATATTTTATTTTATCAAATACTTAATGAAATCGCGTAAACAAATAAAATTTATCGAAAAGAGAGAGAGAAAAAAGTTATAATCAGATTGGGGACGAAGGCGAGTATCAAGAGTTCTTCGTACTGATGTTTATTGGCTTATTGCTGATATGCAGTTTTTTTAACGTGTAAGCTGCTTATAAGTTAAATGTTCTTTCGTGAGAGTAAATTGACTTAAATGATAGACTAGTCATTTGGAAATATTCATAAATGGTGAGGATTTCTATTGAAAACAATCTGGTCAACACACAGTTTCGAAAAAACTGAGTTAAAAATAAATAAGTAAGACTTACTTAATATTTTGTCCTTATAAGTTATTTATAAGTTAGCATATAAATATAGAAAAATATGTCATAAGCTGACTTATGACATTGAACCTTTTTTCATGGTTAAAACGGTGGGGTTCTAGTGACACCCACTTTTGGTGACACTAATGGTGCCACTGTCATTTTAGAGCACTTCCGGTGCTTCGTTCGTAAAATTGACGGTTCTTACCCCCCTAACCCACCCCCTAACCCCCCACTCTACCCCGCCCCTGCACCCCGCCGCCGTAAGTCTTCCCACAAAATGTGTGGTTATTATGCATTGCATAATAACCACACATTATGTGGGGGTTTACAGCTGGGTGGGAGTGGGGGTGCAGGGGCGGGGTAGAGCAGAGGATTTAGGGAGTGGGTTAGGGGGGTATGAACCGTCAATTTTACGAACGGAGCACCGAAAGTGTCCCAAAATGACAGTAGCACTGGAGTGTCACCGTACTCCGGTGTTACTAGAACACCACCGTGGTTAAAATGATACTCTCTTCGTCCGGAAATGTCCTTCCCATTTGATTTTTTACGGTCTCCAAGATTGTACTTTGACCACTAATATCTTTATTTATAGATCGATATATTTTATAAAAAATTGATATTTGAAAACTATATTTCAAAATGAATATATTCATATTAAAGTTATATCGTAATATAATGTATTTTTTCCATATATCATAGTCAAAGTTTACAAATTTGAACCAAGAAAAGTCAAATGAGAAGAATATTTTCGAACGGAGGGAGTATTTATGTTGAAATTTCCGTTGATTAAGATATGTCGTGCGTAGTATTTGGGTTGTATTTCATGGACCGAGGCCAATGGGCTGGTAATTAGGTTGTCTAAGTGCTATTATGCATCGCGGGTTAATCAAATTAATCAAGTTCAATTCTATTAAATTTTTTATAGTTTCATTATATGATTTTATTTGGACTTTTTTTATATATTCAAATAAAAATTAATACTCCGTAATATATACGCTCTTCATCTCAAATTTTTATTTTTTATTTATTTTTCAAAACATTTGTTTGGATAAGGTTACAAAAGAAAATAAAAAATAGAAAAATGAAATGAAATACTATGTACAAAATAAAAGCAAAAATAAAAGGTAATTTTTTCCTTTTTCGTTGTTTCGTAACTTTTCTATTCCTTTTTCTTTTACTCCGTTCAAATTATTTTATTTCTTTTTTCTATTTCTCATTTTTCTTTTGTAATGTTTTCCAAAAAAATTGTTTGTCTTGGAAAATAATAAATAATTAAATTTAATTTGAGATGGAGAGTGAAAATATTATTTTATTTACTTCTATAAAAAAGAAAAATAAAAATAAAAGAGTGAAACTTCATGATTGAAGAAAATAATGACATAAATGTCATTTTTACTCTAAAAATAGGTTATGTAGCTTGTGTGCACCATTTAGAAATCATAAAAATTTTACAAATAACTTTTTAAAAGAGAGAGAATTTTGGTATCCCATTTGTAAACCAAGGGCACTTATGGTTTTAGCCATTTAATTTTTTCTTTCCAAACATTATTGTTGTTAAAACGGATAATAACATTCAAATTTCTTTTGAATTTCTATCCATTTCATACTCATTCTCGTATTAAAAAATAGAATATTTTGTTTACTACTCCCTCCGTCCCTGAAAACCTTTCTCCTTTCTTTTTTCATCCGTCCCAAAAAACACTTCTTATTTCTATTAAAAAGTCACTTTTACCCCTTACTTTTTCATATCATACCTATCACATCATATTTTTTACTAATAATCTATCCATCACATCAAAGGACATTTTTGCAAATTCAATACCAAAATACACTTTCCTTAAATCTCTTCAAAAAACAAAACATCCCATGTTTTATGGGACGGAGGGAGTATTTTTTTATGTATACTAATTTTGGCTTTTTATAAATAAACTACCATCATACACTTGTAATATTTATTACTTCTTATATTGAAAGTGATTTAAAGTAAATTTTTTAAATTATCCTTTATAACTGAGTGTTTTCAATATGTAGCCCATATTTATCAAATATCATGTTTGTAGTTATTATTGATTGAATATCATACGTTTAATCTTTGTCTAACTGAGACGGAAAAACAGACGGCAAACTAAAGATATAACGACATCCAATAAATAAGAGCTACAACATAATTTTTAATATATGTGAACTAAAAGATTTTATTCTTTTATCCCAAGTTATAAAAGATCATTTAAATATTTTATTCTTTTATCGATATTCAACAACGTCCAAACGGGTCCTAAGTGAAATGTTCAAAATAGGGGTTGGAAAAGTAAGGGCCCTATTGGTGAGTTTTGAACATATTATATGTATTTAAAATTTGAGAAAAAAGATACTCCATCCGTCCCAAAAAGTCTTTCCTGTTTACTATTACGGCCTCTCGATAACTCCAATTTGTTTGCGTGTTTTCATTGATCATTTGATAAAATAAAATATTCTTGTCGCCTCTTATTTTGTAGAGTTTTCGATGTAGTTTTTAAATATAATTTTTTTATGTGTTATTTCCTTACCAACTTTCAAATAAAATCATTTTAAAATCTACGGGGTTTTGCACGTTAATCAAAACAGGAAATTCTTTTTGGGACGGAGGGAGTACAATTTTTGAAATCTAAAGTGATTTTTTTGAAGGTATTTAAAACAATGATTTAATTAGTGCAATGCGGAGGTAGCCGACTTAATGAATGTTTGGTAGCTGGTGGCGAGGGGTTTGGGCAGTTGTGGGAGATATCAAATCTCATATTGATATTTCCCTAATTCGGTAGATTTCAAATCATCCATTTAAAAGATTTGAGATTGATGAGTTTATATACCCAAGCCCAGAGTATAGGTAAAGAGTAATCGAACAAGCCGATTATGAGTATGCTCTTGATTATAGTATTGATTACAGTAAAGGATTCTAATACCTCCACTTGAAGTGGAGGGGGGTTTATATACGAGTTACATATCTCCACATGTTAGTCACGCAACCATTGTCTACGACAAGGCCCATGTCAGGCCCATTTCGTACGGGGTCCATGACGGGGTATAAGGAATATATGTTCTAACTTCTAATACAGACATTGACATATTGTACGTGTGCATTATTCATTGAGATGTCCCTATGTGGGCCCACGAATGTAGGAATCCAAAGCAGCTCGTGATTTCGTGCCTAAGTCATGTGACGTCAGAGACCGATTGTGAGTCCAGCAGAGGCCGAGTGCGGGTTTTGCTTACACTTGAGCCCGCTTTGTCAGGGCGGAGTGATAAGGCCGAGTCCAGGCAGAGGCTGAGCGTGGCCACATGGTGGACCCTATTCCTTAGATCTGTAGTATCCACAGGATCTACGTCTCAGGCCGAGATCGATTCATGCTCAAACCCGTATTGAAATTTCGTGTTGGACATGTTAATAGACTAGGCCGGATATCTCTAATCTAGGGTATCCATTAGAGATATCTAAAGATATTGAATTTGAAACTCTTTTTTTATGTCTCACCAACAAGTAAAAAAGAAATCTGTTATCTAAACTATCTCCTAAACTCACTGGACCTGCCCTAAAAGATTTGGGGAAGTTATGAAGAACACCACCCCCCCACATCTGCAGCAAGGCAAAACAGATGGCGTCTATCCCTACAACCCTGCTGAGAACCATCTTCTTATTCACAAAGCCATGGCGACCCTCCTTCTCCCCTTCATTCTTCTCATCCCGAAATCCATGCTCGCCCGGCGGCTGTAAAATCTTCAAGGCCCGAAACCATCATCGTCTACTGCTATCGAGAAAGACCCACAACTTCAATTACTCCGACGAAGAAGCCGCCGCTCCGTCTTCGTCTCCAGATGACTGCGAACCAGATCCAGATCCTCCGCAGGAAGCTGTTCTTAAGGCAATTTCAGGTTTCTTTAATTCTGCTCCTCTGTCTTCATTTATCTCCCGCTTTCTGGTTTAATTCAATCTGTTCATGGATATCGATTGCGCAATAAAGAGCAAAGACCCGACCTTTATTTATATATTTAATTTTATCTATAGATTTAGTTCGTTGAAAATGATTATAGTTAAGTAATTGGATAGACCTTTTAGTCTCGTCCTTTGGTACACGAATTGACGGAATTGAAATTGAATTGAATCTAAAATTCTATAGAATTGAATTCTACAACTCCAATTCATTTTTTTGCACTACTAATTCCAAATACACATGTTTTTGTTCTACCAAACAGTAGTACCCTAGTAATACTAATACGCTTGCATATGAATGATATGAGTTTGAATAATACTTACACTCTGGTTGGTTAACAAATAAAGAATATCGGAAGGAAAAGAAAATGATTAGCAATTTTGGTTAGAAAGGAAAAAGAAAATGGAGTGAAAAGGCAAGAAAATGTAATGTAAAAAACAGAAATGTGATTTTTCTTCTTCTTTTTTTTTGAGCTAAGGGAGACTTAGTATTAAAGTAGTTGGATAGACGTTTAGGTCTTAATTTGTAATTTTAGCTTGTGAGTTTTTTTTGCCTTAGTCTATAGTTTGTGAATGTATTCTTTATGTGCTTTGGATCTAGTTGCTAGTGTGTATATGCGTGATTTCGTTCGTGCCTTTGCTAGTAAAGACTTGACTATTGTGGGGTTGCAGAATTGTCAAAGGCAGAAGGAAGGGTGGGACAAACCACAAATGTAGTCATTGGAGGCACTACTACTCATGACGATTCTACTAACGAGTGGCTCGTTTTGGATAAAAAGGTAATCTTTACTATAAATAATGCTCCCAATTTTTATAGGCTTAGAAGGCTGGGAACCTACCTTAAATGGCAAAGAAGGGTGGCAAAAGGGCACAACCCTCGGGTTTGACTTTTTGTAATGACGATGTGGGATAGACTCTAACAGTTTCACTTGGCGTTTTTTTCTTTCTTTCTTTTTTGGTACATTTTTGTGGCATTCAAAATATAACCATAATGTGTAGGTGAATTCCTACCCGACCGAAAGGGTGTTTACGGCAATTGGAACCGGAGGTGATGAATTTGTGCAGGCTATGGTTGTTGCAGTAGAATCAGTCATTCAAGAATCTATCATTCAGGTAGTAATAATCCTATTACACTTGCTACTATATCTACTCTGTCTCAATATTAAAGTCTCAATTTGATTTCCCACGTTTTACAGGGGCAGGTGAAGAAGAAGGATTCCTCCGGAGGCAAGTACGTGTCCGTGAACATTGGACCTATTCTTGTCATTAATAGCGAACAGGTTCTCTATCTCTTTCTCTCTCTCTCTCTCTCTTGCATGTGTGCGTGAATGTATACACAAAGGACTTGTTCTCTCCACCTGATTTGAATGATTATGATCTCATTAGAATAAGTAATGATCTGGTATGATGTGATCTAGATGTAGTTGTATTTAAAGTTGTTTCTGATTTGAACCGAATTGATTCCAATAAAATGTCAAATTGAGTATCTTGTTTGAGAGCCACACACACTAACACTATGTTTGGTTCCAGGGATTTGGAAGAAAAAAGAAAAGAGAATGGTTTTCTCTCTTTTTTCCTTACCAAAATGGTGGGAAGAATTTGGTTTCCCCTTTTCTTTGAATATTTTGTCTTCTCGGTTTCTTTTACTCTCAAACGGAACATAAAAAGTTATTTTTGCTCTCATTTTTTCCCTTTTCTCTTTCGCTTTCCTTGGACCAAACATATTGTTTTTCCTCTCGTTTTTTTTTTTCATTTTTTGTTTCAAATTCCTGGAACCAAACCTAGTGTAAGGGTTATTGCCAACTCGTACACCATTGCCCTACACTCAGAAACACCATTTTTGTGATTTTGTTTTTTATTACTTTCAGGTTCGAGCTGTATATAACGCAATGAGAAGAGATGAGCGAGTGAAATACTTTCTCTAGATTATTACAGTTTGTAACGTAGTGTGAAGCACTCTAACACTAAATGTTTTGTTTCATCCTAACATGTTTTCACTGAGAAGTGTTAAATTCACAAATAGATAAATCACAAAATATACAAACTTTTGGTTTATGGATGTAATTTCCTCCATTTTCACCCTTGTTTTTTTACGCAATACTGTTCCTTATGCGTACATCCGACCCCCCTTACCCCGCAATGGGCGGGAGCCATTGCGGCATTGTGGTAATGTTGTTGTTGTTAATGTTGCTTATGTGAGCTTTTTTTCTTAACAATTTTTTCAACACGTCGACCGTCTTTTTATTTGAATTTATTGTGTTTTAGACGTAAAGGTCGTTAAAAGAATAACAACAGAGAGTAGGGCCCGGGAAGGCGTGTGTATGCAGACTTTGTTCTTATTTGAAAGTAGAGAGAGTGTTTTTAAGAGACCTTTGTTCAAACAGCACAAATACTATAAGTGTATAGAAGGAAGAAAAAAAACATATATCACGGAAAAAGGAGAAAGCACACAACTAAAGAACAAATGAATGTGAATGAAAATGAAGAAAAGCACGGCAAGCAAAAGTACCCAATCACACAAACAAGTGTCATAACACAAGATGCCTGCTCAATTCCTTGTTAAGGGCATGAAGTCCTACATCTTATGTAATCACTTATTTATTAATGAAATAAATAAGGTAATCAATAGAAATAAAATAAATATATATAGTGGTAAGTTTTAACATGTTACAAACTATACAAAGTCTTGATGTACTATTCATTTTTTGAGAGATTAGGTCAGTCGGTAAAGTTTGAATTATTCTAGATTATTTTTTGTCTAAAAAATAAGAAGTGATACATTTATACTTTATATAGTGCGTAAAATATTAAACCCACCACTCTGAAATAAATAAGGTAATCAATAGAAATAAAATAAATATATATAGTGGTAAGTTTTAACATGTTATGCACTATACAAAGTCTTGATGTACTACTCATTTTCTTATTTTATTTCTTACCGGTTTCAAGTTAGTTTCCATTGATTACATTATTTATTTTATTAATTTTGTATTGTTTTAGTTATTTATCTTATTTTTTATATCTACACTTCGTACCTCTTTCAAATGAGTTGAACATAGTTACAAGTTGATAAACGAATCCTCCTAAACTAAGAGATAGTGCTTGACTTACATATGTTCTTTCCTACAAGACGATAGTACCTTGGACTGAGAGAGACTTTTTAGGCCATAAGCGCTAGGGCCAGCCAATTGTGCTAGATATTCAATTGCTCAAGGAAGAGAGAAAACGAATGAAAACCTTACCTCATGACCAATCCCAGGTCCAATAGAAGCAAGTCCTATGGCAAGGCCAACAGCTATCACAGAAGCAGCAGAAATAATTGGATTCATAATAAATTCGTGGTAAATAATAAAGTCGTTAGTGATTTTTTTTATTTTTTAAAAGTAAGCCTAATCAATAAAAAAAGAAAAAGAAATGATGGAGGTAGAAAATATTTTTAGAAAATTTAATGAAAATTTCAAATAAAATTTAAAAAAAAAAATTAAATTATAAGTAGTAATCTCAATTTTCATTTTGTTGCGCAAAATAGGTGGTTTCTGTTAACTTGCCGTTAACAACTTAACGGTGACTCAAAATTCACAAATTTCAGTAAAGTTGAAATTATTATGCAGATATTAAAAGGTGAGGTTATTTTTGAAACATCGAGTAAAGTTGAGATTATTTTGGATAATTTTTTTTAAAATTTAAAATATTGCAAAAAATTTTCGTTAAAGAAAGGCGAGAAGGGTCATTTAAATTTTAGGATGGTGAAAAAGACAAGCATGTTTAATTTTGTGAGAGAGTGCAAAAGATGTTTGATTTCTGAGTAGCACTTTCCGACATGGCGCGTGGGAACATTTGCCCTTCTACATCCGTATTTTCGGTCATGTGGAAAACCATACGTGAAGACGCTCTATGATTGGTCAGTAACGAACCATCTGCGTGGCGGCAATTCACTATTTCCTATCCCCCACTCTCACCCCCCGCGCGTTCAATCGCACTCGCGATCGCCAACAAGATATCCCGTATTTGCTTCACGTCTCAACTCTCAACTCGATCTCACAAACTCAAGCTCTAGAGAGAGAGAGAGAGAGAGAGGATGAGGCTGGTGGCGGCGATTGCGGTGGCGGTGTTAGCTGCGGCGGCGCTACTCACCGGAGAAGCAGTGTGGCTGGACTTGCCGGGGGAGGGGACCAAGTGCGTGGCGGAGGACATCCGGAGTAACGTGGTGGTTATGGCGGACTACTACGTCATCCACGAGGAGGAGCACGTCGCCGGCAACGCCGCACTCCCCGCCATCTCCGTCAAGGTAAACGCTTCTTTGTCGGAGATTAATTAAAAATCAAAGTGCGTGAGTGTTTATATATGATTATATGCAAATCACAATAAATAAAAAACAATGTTTATAAAATCCGATTTAATTCTCGGCCATTCAATTTGGGGACGGTGTTTGTAATTAATGGACTTAATTTCAACGTTTGCCATATTTTTAATTTGAATGGTGCAAATAAATTTTCAAATTAAATTGCCTATACTCTATTCAAATGTTTAATTTAATATATTTTCTTTACTCATCTTTATTATTCATTTAATAAAATAATATACTAATGTCACTTCTTATTAAATATTTAAATTTTATTTTTCAATACTTTTTCGTTCGTCATAAATTGGAACGGAGGGAGTAGTATCATATACTTATCAAATATAGCAATTTTTTTTTAATTTATACGTTGTTTGAATAAGTAAATTCATCATATTTGTCTCTAAAAATGCATCATAACTTTTTTGAGAATTTTTTAAAATTTATTTGTATGGTACCGTAGTAGTTTGGTGTGGTTCAAAAATTCATCATAAATTTTAAATTTTTTTGTAATTGTAATTTATTCGAAAAGTAAAAGAAGTTTAATTTCCTAAAAGTTAAAAAGGAAATGTCACCATAATCCAATGAAGTCACCACCTGAAACAACCACACATAGATATTTAATTTATTGTCTGTGAAAAATTATTGTGTGTGAAACACTCACACAATCAACTTTGATGTCATTTGTGGTATGATTGTAACATGATTCAAGTTAAAATGATAAAGTTTTATTTGTGTGTGTGTGTAAGGTGACATCACCATTTGGAAACAATCTCCACCATGAAGAGAAGGTGACACATGGTCAATTTGCATTCACCACAACTGAGTCTGGTGACCACTTGGTCTGCTTTTGGATGGCCACTCCCACCACCACCACTACTAACAACAAGGCTGCAACTGTGGGCATTGATATCAAAGTTGGGATTGCAGCCAAGGATTGGGACTCCATTGCAAAGAAAGAAAAAACTCAAGTAATTTATTAACAAACTGCACAATGTGAATGAGTGACGTAACGTGACAGACATTAATTGGTCGGCCTCAACCGCAACTAAATGTCGAAATAGTTACCAATCAATGACTGTCACGTCTGATCACTTCTCACCCTGAAGTCATTGACTTGCTCAATATGGTATTTGTGTGTTTTCCTGTATGAGTCGTCATATATATGTTTGCCTGAAGCCATTGACTTTCTTTTGTAGGGGCTTGAACTTGAGTTGATGAAGCTTGAAGGTCTCGTGCAGGCCATACATGAGAATTTGGCTTATCTGAAAATTCGGTAAGTTTCATGTATGAATGCATATTGTGCAACGTTTAATTTTCACGTCTCACTCCCATTTTAATCACACGCATTAGTTTATACACTTAAATATTAATTAATCCACATCACTTCTTTATGCAACTTTATAAGGTTTGTATACTAAAATATCACAGTACTTTTTAAATATTTTTAGCACATGATACATCTTATTCGAGGATAAAGTAGGACTATGTGGTTTCCCAAACAGCTTTGTCCTGTTTTTATAAATTGCGACCGGGACGACTAGAAACCTGAACCGTCCCGACCTGTATAATTTCTCTTAGACTAGCATGTATAATTGTACACACACACTATGTGTGTGTGTGTGTAACTTCAATTGTATGGTGGTGCAGGGAAGCAGAGATGAGGGAGGTGAGTGAGAGGACGAATGAGAGAGTGGCATGGTTCAGCATATTGTCTATTGCTCTCTGCATTCTCATTTCCCTTCTCCAAACATGCCATATTAAGGGCTTCTTCCGCAACAAAAAACTCTTATAATAATTAGCTTTACATCGGAATTGTTTCTACCATTACAATTTATGTGTTATTAGATTTTTCTAATTATTATCAGAAGTTTTTGTTAATGTTTTTTTAAATATTATGGAGTAATTCATTTACTTCCTCACTTGTTATAGTTGTGATATAATATTACTAGATCATTTCTCATATGTATGATGAAAATGTGACACTGATTCTGTTAGAGTGCATCCTACATCGAAAGTTCAAGAGTAAAATAATCGGTATTTAAGCTCTTGAGTTGAAATAACTAATCGATTGGATTCAATCTTTTAATCTAGTTCAACCCAAGTGTCTTATTACCCAATCTAGTTGTCCATACCCCATCCTAAATTCTATCATGGCATCACCTCATTTGTCAAGTTGTCCGTCTAGACGTTCATTCCTAGCGGCCCGTTAGTCTTTAGCCCAGTTGTCCATATGGAGTATGTACCCAACGGCCTATGGCCCGCAAATTTGTCTTCTCTTTTCTTATATGTTACACTCTAAAGATGAAGGCAAATGAAGATGTGAAATACTTTCTTTCAATATAAAGAGGTGTCAATACCTTCTCAAAATTGAAAAAGTAAAAGAAAAAAAAGAGGGAAAAGCATTATAACTTCTAAATTTTCCTTTCGTATAATTTTTGCATTTCAATGGTAAAGGTAAATGGAAAAGCAACAAATTTTCCAATATGAAGAGATACCAATACCATTTTAAATTTGTCTTTTGAAATTTACCTTTTACTCATTGGAGTTAATCACTTATGAGGAATGCAAAAACCACTTTCCGAGGAGGTTAATGAAAAAATACCACCTCATTTCGTCTTCCTCCATTGGAGTTGCTCTCAGTTCACCCCCTTGTGGGCGTTTTCGTCATTTGGTGTCCACGTTAGCATGACCAATTTTCACAAAATGTTATAATGGTTTACCCCCTTTCACCCCCTTCTATAATTACTTAATCATTTTTTAACACGTTGATCAACTAATTGTGGAGTAAATAATGTAGAATTAGGTGAGCATTGTAGTGTGGATCTGACCACGAAGACTGGGTAGAGAGTAAGTTTCATGAGTAAAAGATTGGTAAAACGACATGTTATTTTCGATCTTAGGGCAATAATCATCATTTTCCATGAAATGAGATGATTAGTTCTCAAAGATGAAAATAAACATTACATTTTGATTTTTATAATTAAATTGTAGCACAAAATTGGTTGGGCAAAAAATGGAGTATAGTATTTGGTTGGGCAAAAAATGCAATTTAGTGTATCGTCGGCGCCATAGTTGTAGAAAGAAAGAAAGAAAAAAAAACACGGAGGCCACGAGAATGCAGAAACCGCCATATCAAATCTTCGCAGTGAAGTTTTAAAATCTGCTCCGTATCTATCTATCTTCTTCTTCTTCTTCTTCTTCTTCTTCCTCCTTTCAATCAACTCATCAATTCCGGACAGATAGAGATACAGGGGATCAGATCGGAATGGACGGGCCGCCGGAGAACGATATCTGCTCAATATGCCATGGCACCTTCCACATTCCTTGCCAAGCCAATTGCTCCCACTGGTTTTGCGGTACCTCTCTCTCTCTCTATGTATGAATTTCACTCATAATTGTTAGGACGGTAAGATATTTGGATCTTATTGGGATCGAATTGTTGCACCTAATTTTATTCTGCCGGAGTTAATAGCCTATGGCGGCCGGTTGCTGCAATAACGTAGGCGACAAACCCAGGCTTGACATACACAAATACTATGGTCCGCCGGGGTTGCGATGTTGAAATTATAGGCCCGCCGCCGGCCGCCACCATCTCTGTTTGTTAATATTACTATTAGGACCAATTGTTCACATTTGTTCTCTCCTGTTTTCGTCCTCCTCGCCCATCTAAACATTGCAACGCACTAACTAGATTAAAATTGCGGTTTAAAGGTGATCATAGTTAAAAGAATTCTACCGAAATATGACTAAAACATGGAACTTATACCAAATTAAGTCGTATGTGTGTTGGCACTTTTGTGATCCTTCTTTATGCGCACACACCCTCCCCAGACCCTACTTTCGTGGAATTCAACTGAGTTGTTTGTGTGTTGGCATTTTAGAGTGTTTTTTGGCATTATAAGTTTTTTAAACCATATATTGATATAAAAATATTGAAGGTCCTTTTTAATAGATGGATCATGTTTTTGTTCTTGTTAGGTATTTCTCACCATAATTAATCGTTGTCACAAATTGTACTGAGTATAATATACCTCAGTCAGATTCGGTTATTAGCTCAAGTGGTTGAACAATGAGTTCTGATTTCACGATGTGGAATGGGATATCTAGGTAGCTAATCGCTTGCTGTGTTATCCCTATTCCCTAAGTAGAAGTTATTGAACCTTTTATGTAGCGAGGGAGGCATGGAGTATGCTGAGAAGTCAAAGCAGCGGTTCTTGCATTTTGAAGCATTGGCAATTTAAACTCTATTTTTTCTGCAATGTATTGCTTCACCTTTTCCCCCGGCTGTAGGTAAGTGCATTTTACAAGTCTGGGACCATGGGCCAGCCTTCCAGCCGTGCAAATGTCCGCTGTGTCGTCGCCAGATCACTCTGTTGGTTCCTTCAGATAATTTATCAAGGCAGCGTCGAGCTCCTGATGACTCTGATGTTTTTACAAAAATTCAAAGATATAATGGTTTGTTTGGCCGGCAGACCAATGGACTTAGTCAGGTAATTACTACTTTGTTTGTCCTTGTCCTTAAACTTCTGTATAGATTTTTGTGAATTGCCATGTTCTTACTACTTTGTTTGTCCTCCTTATGGCTTCGTTTGCCTTTATTGCTTTAGTTCAAGTCGCCAAGATGGACATCAGTATAGCACGGGAAATAAACGGAATATGATACATTTTTAAAGTAACCTAAAAATATGTCATGGCTTGAGTATGAGCCTCAACTTTAACAATGCATCTTATATGAAGGGCACTTTTTCTAGGAAAAGCACTAACTGCTGCCACTTTTGCTTCTGGAACATCAGAAATCTGCAGTTTTTTAATAACAACAAAAAGATGGTCCTCCTACCTTAAAATCATTTTCCTGTTTTCCTGCCAAACACGGTTTTTTAGGAGTAAAAATACTTCATTTGATTTAGCAGTAACACTTGTTGCTTGAAAGTCATCCTTAACTTACTCTATGAATGCAATATGTAGGAGTTTGTATTTTCACATCACATGTTTTTTTGTGAAACTGTTTTATCATTTTCATTGTATTTAGAATAGAGGTCTTTCTGCCTCAAAAAAAAAAAGAAAAAAAAAAGAATAGAGGTCTTTCTCTTTTGTAGTTGTTTTAGACTTTTTCGGTGAAGAGAGCATGACTAAGATGCTTCGTTGTAATGTACATATTTAAACTTTACAACAAATTGCAATACCGTATCGTACATCAGATGTATGTGCATCTGGTGATATTTTTTGTAATTCTTATGACGGCATCTTTCCTCTAAAGAGTATTCATCTAAAGAATGCTCATCTCCTTTTATCTTTTCACATTTATGCATTTTCTACTCATTTTTTTCTTAAGGATGTGAATTTGTTGAACATTCATTTTTCTTTTGAAGAATGCTTATTATATGCATGTGTTGAATGTACGGATATCATATTACATTCGGATCCATAATATACTCCCTCCGTCCCCAATTTGATTACAATTTTTTTTCTCTCTCCTCTCGATAACTTTTGTTTGTTTACGCGATTTCATCAAGTATTTGATAAAATAAAATATTCTTGTCACCTCTTATTTTGTAGAACTTTTGACGTAGTTTTTTAATATGTAATTTTTATAACTTATTGATATACCAATTTGTAAATAAAATGATTTCAAAAAGTAGGAAATTTTACTCCGTAACCCGCAATTTGTAATCAAATTGGGGACGGAGGGAGTATATTATGGATCCGAATGTAATATGATATCCGTACATTCAACACATGCATATAATAAGCATTCTTCAAAAGAAAAATGA